TGCGCAGTCCGGGCGCGTAGCCGGAAAGCTTAAATATGAATTCTGTGTAAAAATTTATGAATTTTGATATTAATATGATTAAAGTTGACTTTGGTCAACATTTTGGGTAAACGGACCCGGACCCGTGATTTGACGGTCCCGGAGGGTCCGTAGAAAAATATGAGACTCGGACATATGCCCGGAGTCGAATTCCGAGGTCTAGAGCCCGAGAAATGAATTTTTCTGTGAAATTGTTTTTCTGAAATTATTAAGGAAAATGGAAATGAAAATTGATTAAAAGGCTGTGGTATCGGGCTCGTATTTTGGTTTCGACGCCCGGTACAAGTCTTATATATGGTTTAAGCGCTTCCTGTGAAATTTGGTCGAAATCGGACGTCATTTGACGTGTTTCGGACCTATATATCTAAAATTTGAAGTTTATGAAGTTAGAATGAAAAATGATGATTTTGAGGGTTGATTCATTGATTTTGATGTTGTTTTGGCGATTTGATCGCTCGGTTAAGTTCGTATGAGGTTGTGGAGTTAGTGTGTGTGTTTGGTTAGGAGCCCCGAGGGCTCGGGAGTGATTCGGAGGTGGTTCGGGATGTTTTTGGCCTTAGAGAAAGTTGCAGAAAATCTGCAATTTTTGCTCAGTTGTTCCCTCCTTCGCGATCGCAATCTTCAGCCCGCGTTCGCGTTCCTTTGGTTTTTTCCTCTTCCGCGTTCGCGTACTCGGTCACGCGATCGCGTAGCTTCAGCATTTCCTTCAATGCGTTCGCACCAGTAGACTCCCGTTCGCATAGACCAAACTTTTGGACCCCCAGTATTTCATCTACACGTTCGCGTTACCATCCACGCGATCGCGATGACCAGTCAGTGGGACCTTTCGCGATCGCATCCCTGTTTCCGCGATCGCGTAGGGAAAATTCGCCCAATTATTTTTAAAGCCTAAAAACAGACCAGTAACGGGATTTTTCACCCAAAACACACGAGTTCATCTTATCTACAGCACATAGGCGATTTTTAGAGCTATCCTTCACCAAAACTTCTTGGGTAAGTATTATCTAACTCGTTTTCTTCATTTTCTATCATCATTTATCAAATTCCTAGACCTAAATCATGTAGTTCATGGTAAAAATTGGGGAAAAGGGTAGAATTAGGGCTTCTCAATTTTCTTTGATTTAGACCTCGTTGTGGAGTCGAATTTGAAAACAAATTGTATATCCGGGCTCGTGGGGGGAATGGGTAACATGGAATTGGTTCGAACCTCGTGTTTTGACCAAGCGGGCCCGGGGTCGATTTTTGAAATTTTGGGAATGAAGCTTAGAAATTCATATTTAGGCATTGGGTTTAGTTTGTTTAGCTATCATTAATATTGTAAAGTTATTATTTCATAGATTTGCCTGTGTTGGAGCCGAATTCGAGGGGTAGAGCTATACTAGAAGCTTGAGTTGAGTTTGGAGCATTCGAGGTAAGTGTTTGGTCTAACTTTGGCTTGAGGGAATAGGAGTAGAGTCTTATTTGCTAATTGCTACTTGTCGAGTACGGTGTATAGGCATGGTGACGAGTATCTATATGCTGGTGTCGAGCATGACCGTGAGTCCTGAATTGCTATATTATCAAATTCTTAATTATTGTTTATGAGGACTTGGTTGGAAATCTTTAACACTGAGCCAGTGATTGATGAGACTGAGTATTGATTTAATTGTGTTAAGTAGAAATTGAGTAAGTTTGGTTTTGTTCCCTTGCCGGGATAGTTTATTATAACATCTTTCTCCCTTGCCGAGGTTATTTTGTGTATTGTGTTGAAAGAAATAGGATCGTGTGGCACGCCGACCACGAGATATTATGAAATGGGATCGAGTGGTACGCCTACCACGTGATATTATGAAATGGGAGCGAGTGGTACGCCTACCACGTGATATTATGAAATGGGAGCGAGTGGTACGCCTACCACGTGATATTATAAAATGGGAGCGAGTGGTACGCCTATCACATGATATTATGAAATGGGATCGAGTGGTACGCCTACCACGTGATATTATGAGAAATGGGATCGAATTGCACTCCAGCAACGAGAGGAAATTGAAACAAGTGAAAGTAGTTTGTTTTCCCTTATTCTGTGTTAGAAGAAATCAGATGTAGTTTCTTTTGTTATTCCTGATATTCCGTTTTATCTGCTACCCCATAAGCATGTTCCCCTCCCAGTTTTAATTGTTTACTTTCTGCTATTATTTTGTTGTACTTGTATATATCTGCATAGGTTTATCTGGTAGTCTGGTCTAGCCTCGTCACTACTTCTCCGGGGTTAGGCCAGGCACTTACCAGCACATGGGGTCGGTTGTGCTGATGCTACACTCTGTGCATCTTTTTGCACAGATCCAGGTGTTGGAGCAGCATTTGAATAGCAGTAGCATTCTGGGAGCGAGCCTTCAGTCTAGGGATTTTCGAGGTAGCCTAGCTGACGTCCGCAGGCCGGAGTCCCTTCTATGTTATCAGTTTGTTTTCCTTGTTCCGAGACAAACATTGATGTACTTCTATTCAGACTTGTTTTTAGCACTCTTTAGTAGTTCGTGAGTTAGTGACACCGGATCTGGGTAAAGTTGTATTTAGACTTCCGCATTTGGTTTTCAGTTATCTATGTTTTTAAGACTTCCGCTTTATGTCATTATGTTTGATTTTATTAAATGGTTGGTAATTGTTGCGAAAAGGTAGATTAAATTGGCTTGCCTAGCTCCCATTAGTAGGCGCCATCACGACTCCCGAGGGTGGAAAATCCGGGTCGTGACATGTTATTTGCTTACCCTATAGTTTTCCTTCTAACCCTCACATTATATTAGAAAAGTTTTTAATCCTACTTATAAAGAGATGGCCTCGCACAACCGTAAAGAGCGATATTTATAAATATAAACAATTGCTCTATTTATTTACTCATATTAATTTTCGTGTTGCTATTACTACTGATATTGGTAGAAGTGGTAGTGACTGTGATTATCTTACTGTTACCAGTCATTGGATTGATGATGATTGGATAATGCAAAAGCGCATTATCGCTTATAGAATAATTAATTCACGTCACACAGGGCAGTTTATTGCTAGCACGGTTACGGATATTTGTAGATATTTTTGCATTAGTGATAAAATAATATCAATTTCAATGAATAATGCTACTAGTAACACTAATGTTGTAGCCATTCTTACCACTACACTAAATTCTGCATTTAGTAATATTTTTCATGTTAGATGCATTTATCATATTTACCATTTAATTGTTGGTGATGGTATGAGAATTTTAAATGTCAAAATTGAAAAGGTTAAAATGGCTCTTCATTGGAGTTTTTGTTCAAACGGTAGAAATAGACTTAGAGAATATTTTAAAGATGCGATGAATTTGGCCTAAGAGAAAGAAAGGTTCCTAAACCTTGTCCAACTAGATGAAATTACATGTATGAAAGTTTAGTTGTTGCATATGAATATAGAAACCCCATAAACTCAAAGTTTAATGCTCATGTAAGTGATGATGATGAGCACCTTACAAATGAGGATTGAACTAATATTAAAATGCTTGTAGATTTTTTAGAAAAATTTCATATTGCTACAAATGAATTTTCTGGGCAATATTATCCTACTATTTCTAACTGTTTAGTTTATATTGTAAAACTTGCAAATTTGTTTGCTTATTTTTTAGAGGGTGGGGAAATTTATAAACAAGCTATTGATTATATGAGAAAGAAGTTTAAAAAATATTTTTTCCCTATTCCCTCTATTTATGGTGTTGCTGCTTTGTTAAATCCTACTATGAAATTAGGAGGTCCTCAATTTTGGTATCAAACTGTTTTTGAAGATGAGAAGTTGTCTACACTTTCGGAAGCACAAGCCTCAATTAAAATAAATGCTCAAACTATTTATAGTGCTTATCAAATTGCAATAGATCATGCTAGACCAAATGTTCCAACTCCTTCTTCTTCTAGTTCTCAAGCATCTAAAAGAACTGCGGGAGTAAGAACACTTACTGCTTGTGCCGGGTCCAGGGGTTCTCAAGGTTCTAGTACTAGTGATTGCTCACAACTAAATGAGCTTGAAGTTTATTTGTCATTGGAAATTGAGGAAGCGAATCCCGACGTCTCCTTTAATATTTGGATGGTGGAAGGACAAAGAAAAACACTTTCCGATTCTTTCAAGGATGACCCGAGACATTTTAACCATTCAAGCTTCAACAGTGTTATCGGAGAGCGCTTTTAGTCAAGCAAGACTTCAATTCAGTGATTATAGAGCGTCTATGAGGGAGAGCTTGGAAAAATGAGTACTTTTCAGAAATTAGATCCGTTCGGAACGAAGAAATTTTGGACTTGCTGAATCACAACCAAAGGTAGACGAAGCTTACGAACAAATGCTAGCTGAACTTGCGGAGGATGCAGCTTCGCCCGGAGGCGGTGATGAACAAGCTTCTTTTCCGCCATCACCAACGGAAATTCCTCCGAACCTTGAAGGATTTATGAAATTTATAAGAGATATCATGTAAAATTAATATGTAACTTGTATTTTGGCACATCTTGATTAGTTTCTTTTTCTTCTCAATGGTGGTATTATCACATTGTTGGGCTCATTCCATGAGGGAGGAAGACTAAGAAAGATATTGCCATGTTTTGTTAATACTATAATAAAATTATAACACATTCTCTTTACAATATTTTTGTGTTTAAATTTGAATTCACAATTCTATAATATAATTTTTGCAAGGAATTGCCTTAAACAACAATTTTTTAAAAAAATAATTGAAACTAACCGTTGGGTTTCACTTAGGCCCACATAAGCCCGTGACCGGCCCGGGATCGTCAATTCGTGGTTCCGATCCCGGGCCGGTTCCTACCAAAAGCCCACGAACCCCGAAACCACTTAGGACGGCCCACTTAGTACCGGCCCACGAGGCCCGGGCCCACTTAGGACCGGCCCACATTACATCCCTAGTGTTAATTGTAATTTTGCATCAAACGCAACACCTGCTTGTTGACGGGTAAATAGATTTACATTCATCTCGTTTTCATATCCACAATAAACAGAGTAGAGCACCAACGTGTTCATTAACTTATTTTTTCATTGACAGGTAAGTAGGTAGTCACTATTCACTAACTGTGCTTCTCATCTACGTATTTTCTTTGTTTAATAGGGTACATAGTGGAGGAGGAGATTTCGTCTATATTCTGCCTACTTTACGTATTACTGTACAGCAACATCTATAAAACGGCAAGTGATAAGAAAATGAACTTCATCTCCATATCTATTAACATCATTCTTCGGTTCCTGTGGATGGTGTCTTCCATATTCCTCAGCGTACAGTAAATCTTCCTGTCCAAACAAACAAGATGAAAACTTCAATAATCAGTTTGAATTTTAGAAGATTGATCACTGATTACAAAGCAAACATTCTCACTGATAAACTAAAAACAGAGTACCTCAAAAATTATACTACTACAGTGCTACTCTTTCCTATATCTAGTGGCTATGTCAAAAATTCTAACACTAGAATTCGAAATAAGTTTCGTCAGAAGTGATTGACTAGACCGTGGCACAAATAGCCGAACGGATTCAATATTTACTTTTTCTAGCCGTTATACACAAATTATATTTATATATATATATATATATATATATATATATATATTATATATTCATTGACTATTTCTAATTTAAAAAATTAGGTGTACGGTTATTTGGGTTAACTCTTCTTATAGGTTCAAGAGTGAGTACAAATTAGCTAAATATTTAGAAATCTATGTACAAATTAGATTATGTAACTGTTCGTCTTAAATACTGAATCCACCACCTCTATTCTATAAAAAATGAAAAATAACTAAACAAAAAGGTTGAGAAAATAGGACCGAGGTATACGCACCTAGATGGTGATCAATTAGCAGATTTTATGGCCGTTTTTCCACTAAGAGGTGAAGCAGGCAACATAGGCCTTGACAACAGCATAACAGACGAGGCAACATCTTGATCAACAACTCTCTGCCTAAGCTTCTTGGCTATATCTTCCCCAAGTTGCAAATCCTCTGCTCTAATTCTCATAATTTGACTATGAATATACGCATTCATAGTCTTTTCACTCCATTTCCTACAACAAGACTCCATATCTTTCTCTTGTTGACTCTCCATCTCACAGTTTTTAGAAGAGTATATCATTGTGGAAATGATAGATTCAACTATATATTCAGATGAAGTTTTGAGGCAAGCAAAGTGAAAAAAAACAAAAGTATGCCGCTATATGGTTGTCATGTTACATTGAAAAGTATTTATAGTTGTTACATGTGTCCTTGTTAATTACAAATACACGGTAGTGATATATGTGTGAGCGTCTACGGTGGGCCGGTGGGGAGCTGACTTACCTGCTGAGTTACGCATTAATTTTAGGTGGAGCTAGGCAAAGGCTTTTACCTTCTTGACACGTATATAGGGGTTGCCTAATTTTTTAATTAGAGGTGAACTTCACGTGTTGACAAGCCATATGCTGTTGTTGAGTTAATCATTTAAGATTTAAGGGCGAAATGAAATCAGTATACGTGCAAAATTTGAATATATTTTAGTAATTAAATAAAAAAAAAAAGGGTTGTTAGGTGCACAAATCATAGGGCGAAATTCAAAAATAGCCAAATTTACAAGTAGTAATGAAAAAATAGCTACAGTTTCAAAAATAATCGAAATTTAGCCACTTTTTATGTAAAGATAAATCTGAACGAAAACACTGTTTAAAATCTAAAAAATATTCCAGCATAATATATCGGAGTTCGACTTTTTACACATGTGAACTTCGAGCATAATTACTGGAGTTCCATCATAATATGTTGCAAGTTCATACACAGGTGCTCCAGTCTCTGGAACTTTCAGTATGCTGGAGTTCCAGCATAATGTGCTGGAAGTTCATATGCAGGTGCACCAATCTCCAGTATATTATACTGAAACTTTCCGTGTTGCAGCAAAATAATGGCTATTTTTCAATGACTTTGCAAACGATGACTAAATTTTTAATTACAAGTCCGAAAACTGTCTAGCCCGTGCTATTTTCACCAAAGCATTCCACGTCTACGCAGAATCCATAAAAAGGGTACGTCGAGGGAGTGTGATATAGGTAATCACTTTTAGTGGTTGATTCCGTGGCTCGAACCCATCTATAGGTCATACGGAGACAAATTATAAGAATGCACTGATGAAAATAAGTTTTACTATCCATTAAAAAGCTAATCTAAATTGTTAATGGTGAGAAGTTAGTTAAAAGTAAATTACGTGATCAGTGGAGATGTATTACCACCTGATATACCTGGTGAATATGCCTTTTAGGTATATAGAGGAAGACTTTTGCTTGGTCGCATGTGTAAGGTTGCTGAACTTTTAATTAGAGATGTAGTACTTCATTTGTTGACAAGTCATATGTCATTTGTGAGTTATCGATCAAGATTTTAGACCGAGGAGAACTTAACATTATATAAAACATGTAAGTGTATTACAATAAGAAAATAAACATATAACAGGTGTCACATTTTGTACAAATATCAATTAATATAGGCACGCAAATAGATGTTAGCTGAAAAACTAGCCCAAGCTGTTGATGTTACATGACTCAGATAGAATTCTTCCTGACCTTTTAACTAAGATTATTTCTTTCTCCAACAATTTTTATTGATATAAACTAATCGTACTACTTCACTATATAATTTTAAACTTGATTGATTAATTGACGAAAATATTATTTCATTTATTCATATTTCAAATAATTATTCAAAATATAGCAGGTGTCACATTTCAAATAATTAAGGCTAGGCGAGCTAGGGCATCCTGATAGTCACCGCGATTTTGGGTACTTAGGCGCATCAAGGTTGAGGAGGTCGTGGGGGCTATGCGTAAGATGAGCAGGGCAGAGCTACCGGGCCTGACGAGATTCCGGTAAAATTTTGGAGGTGTGTGGGTAGAGCAGGTTTGGAGTGGCTGATTAGGTTGTTTAATGTTATTTTCAGGACGAAGAGGATGTCAGATGAGTGGAGGTGGAGTACGTTGGTTCCGTTGTACAAGAACAAAGTTGACATCTAGAGTTGCAACAACTATAGGGGTATCAAATTATTGAGTCATACCATGAAAGTTTGGGAGAGGGTGGTAGAAGCGAGGGTGAGGAGGACGGTGTTTGTATCAAAAAACCAATTCGAATTTATGCCGGATCGTTCTACTACGGAAGCTATCCACCTTATTAGGAGATTGGTGGAACAGTACAGGGATAGGAAGAAGGATCTGCACATGGTGTTTATCGATCTTGAGAAAGCGTATGACAAGGTTCCTAGAGAGGTTCTTTGGAGATGCCTAGAGGCTAAATGTGTGCGGGTTGCTTACATTAGGGCAATTAAGAACATGTATGATGGAGCTAAGACTCGGGTTAGGACAGCGAGAGGCGACTCTGAGCATTTTTCGGTTGTTATGGGGTTACATCAAGGATCTGCACTCAGCCCATTCTTATTTGCCCTGGTGATGGACGCACTAACATACCATATTCAAGGAGAGGCGCCATGGTGTATGCTATTCACTGATGACATTGTTCTGGTTGACGAGACGCGGAGTGGTGAGAGGCTGGAGGTTTGAAGACAAGCCCTTGAGTCTAAGCTTTTCAAGTTGAGCAGGACGAAGATGGAATATCTTGAGTGCAAGTTCAGTGCCGAGCCGAGGCAAGCGGGCATGGATGTGCGGCTTGGATCGCAGGTCATTTCTAAGAGAGGCAGTTTCAAGTACCTCGGGTCGGTTATCTAGGGGGATGTGAGATTGACGAGGATGTCACACACCGTATAGGGATGGGGTGGATGAAATGAAGGTTAACATCTGGAGTCCTATGTGATAAGAAAATGCCACCGCTACTCAAGGGTAAGTTTTATAGAGTGGTGGTTAGAACAATCATGTTGTATGGGGCTGAATATTGGCCAGTTAACATGTCCAGAAGATAAAAGTAGCAGAAATAAGGATGTTGGGATGGATGTGCGGGCACACGAGGATGGATAAGATTAGGGATGAAGTTATTCGGGAGAAGGTGGGCGTGGCTCCCATTGATGACAAGATGCGGGAAGCGAGGCTCAGATGGTTCGGGCACGTACAGAGGAGAAGCTTGGATGCCCTGGTAAGGAAGTGAGAGCGGTTGGCGTTAGTGAGTACGAGGAGAGGTAGAGGGCGGACTAAGAAGTATTGAGGAGAGGTGATCAGGCAGGATATGGCGAGGCTTCAGATCTCCGAGGACATGGCACTCAATAGGAAGCTGTAGAGGTCGAGCATTAAGGTTGTAGGTTAGGAGGTAGTTGAGCATATTTAGTCTACCAGTGTGAAGATAGGCTGGTAGGATTTAATATTAGACTGCTAATGATCAATGTTGTGTTTACACTACTCTTCTGTTTTCATAGTGTCGGACCTTATTTACTGGTTATTATTTCTGCTTTCTATTTATTTACCGGTTCTTATGATGTTATTATTATTTCTATGGTTTTTTGTTGATGTACTGATGTATTATCTCTTTTTCGTTTTCTTGAGCCGGGGGTCTATCGGAAACAGCCTCTCTACCCCCTCAGGGTAGAATTAAGATCTACGTAGACACTACCCTCCCAACCCCTTGTGAAATCTAACTAGATCGTTGTTGTTAGTTGTTAAAGCAGATATTGATTGGAATGAAGAGACTATTTTGCTTTCAGATATGGATATTCTCAATCTTATTTAATTAATTGGACGCCTATTCAGCAAGCTAGACGATACATTCGAGTATAAAAAACATTTAAGAATCTTCAAAATAGCCTAAGTGGATTACAAAGACTGGCTAATAGGTCTCTATCAAATCTGCACAGTCCCATTACCGTTGCCAAACGTTCAAAAACTGATAAAGACAAATTCTTTAGCAATAATGCAACTACAAGTGGTCACAAATGGCAGGTGAATTGCAATTATGGGTGGGTCACATGGTCATACTAGGATTTCTGCGTGAGGTAATTGGAAAACAAGTGGCATCTTTTTTAGCAATTAATAAAGATTCAAATATGACAGATATTTCATAATTAAGCCTAATTTTTTACAATCGCTATCTATAATATTCAAGATATTGGAATTACCAGACACGTGGAATTGTTGGAAAGTGCTATTCTGTCCTCACACAATTATTAAGCTTACTTACAGAATCAATCAAAGCAAAACCAGACATGTAACTGCATCTAAAGAGATACAAATAGTTCAAAGATAATTGAAGTATAAATTTATTTAGAAAACATTGACTGATAACGTAGAATAAATATTAACATGTCATAACATATTAATTACACTGATAATATATCTGCTCCGAAGGTATTTCGGAAATAACCTTTCTACTCCCTCGGGGTAGAAGTAAGGTCTACGTATACACTACCTTCTCAGACCCCCACTAGTGGGAGTTTACTGGGTTGTTGTTGTTGATAATATATCTGCACTATTGATATACACAATTTAAATCCTTAAGGCAATGCACATGAAAACAGTCCACACCCAATACAATAACCATAAGGTGACTTTCCGTATAACTCAAAAAATGTCCACTCTTCATCGGAGGCGGATCCACAGTGTAAAATATGGTTCACGTGAATCCGTGATCCTCGAGTTAAAGTATAGATATGATGTACATAATTTGGCAAAAATGGATATATATATTTGATGGAACTGATTTTGATCTCTTATTTCCCACAGTCAAAAGAGACAAGCGTGCACTGATTTTGATCTCTTATTTCCAATAGCCTAAGGTTAGGGGGTCTAGATCTCTTCATCTTCTTTCTTTGATAGTCATTGACATGACAAGCAGCAACCACCTTTAAGGTGGATTTACCTTTTTGATGAATGTCTTTTCTTTATTGAGCCTAGTACAACGTTATGTTGAAGACAAAATGTTGCAGTTGCAGAAGTGAATTACCAATTATACACTTATGGCTCACAATTTATGTCTCTTTCAAGGTATATTGCAGTCTGCAGATATCCTAGGATATATTAAGTTTTAAACAGTAAGTGGAATTATTACAGGACAGAGAGAAACAGTCATCCTTATCCACCCCATGATATGTAATCAACTTACAAATTCAAGTGAGTTCAACTTCATAGACCTGCCAAAATTGCACTTCTGAGCAAAAGAAGGGTAAGATAAAGACATTTGCGGCTAGCACTAGAGTATTTACAGTTAAAAAATGACTACTGGATTGGTGATTTTGCAAAATATATACGCAATTCCTACACACTGCAAAACCTGCAGGAAGTGTGGGTCTATGG